GTAATAAAAATAGTATGGTTTTAGCACAAAAGTAGAAGACACAGACCAAGGGAACAGAACAGAAAGCCAAGAATTAAGTCCTACCACATGTGGTCAGCTAATATTCAACAAGGGAGTCAAGAATACCCAAAAAGGAAATCAACAAGTGTTACTGGAGTGACTGGATACAAACATGTTGAACAAAAAAACTGTATCTCTATTTCACAATATGCACAGACATTAACTTGAAATGGAGAAAGACTAAGCATAAAACATGATACCATAAAATGCTTAGAAGAAACATAAAAGAACCTCATTGAAAGGGAGTGGTCATGGCAATAGTTTTTTGGACATGATAACAGAAGCAAAAACAATAAATTCAACAAATGGGGCTACATCAAACACAAAAAGCTTCTGCAAAGCAAAAGAGATAATGGAAAAATATCACTCCACAGAATGGGAGAAAAATTTGTAAGCCACTTATTAGATGAGGGATTAATATGCAAAATATATACAGAACTAACAACTGATAATCAAAAACCAAACAACTCAATAAAAATAAACAGGAAAAACAATTTTTTCATAATAGTCATCAAAGTGGCCAACAGGCACATTAAAAGATTTCAACATAGTAATCACCAGGGAAATACAAACCAACACCACAATAAGATACCACTTCAAACCTGTTAAAATAGCTGTCATCAAGAAGACAGAAAATAGGTGCTGGCAAGAATATGGTGAAAAAGGAACCCCCAAAAACTATTTGTGGGAATGTAAATTAGTCCAACTACGGTATCACTATGAAAAACAATATGGAAGTTCCTCAAGAAATTGAAAATAGATCTATCAAATAATCTAGCAATTCCACTTCTGGGTGTATACCCAGAGGAAATGAAAATAGGATTTTCTATTTTTATCACAACAATGTTCACAATAGCCAAGATATGGAAATACCTCCAGTGCCCATGAAAGTATAAAAAGACATGGCATATAAACACAATGAATTTTATTCACCCATGAGAAAGGAGGCTATCCTGCCATTTGTAACAACATAGATGAACCTTGAACACATGATAATAAGGCAGAAAAAGACAACTACCATATAATATAGTTTATATGTGAAATCCAACAAAGTCAAACTTGGAAATTGGTTGATAACCAGTGGGTAGAGGAGGGATAAACTAATGGCATTTAAAAGTACAACATATAATAAGTATTAAATAAGTCACAGAGATCTAAGGTACAGTATAATACATATAGACAATAATATTGGCCTGTAATGATGAAATAAAATATTGCTTCAATGGCAATCATTTCATGATATGTAAGTGTATCAAAGTTATATGTTCTACATCTTGAATTTATGAAATGCAACAATTTTATCAAATAAAATATGAAATCACAAGACTACTTAGTATGTGGAAAAAGATTTTTAGAGATGAATGCTTAATATTTAGCATAAGAGGTTTAGAGTTTACTTTAAAATATTTCAGCATAAAAATGTTAATTTATAAAATTTGCATAGGGTGTGATAATATTAACATGGAGACTACAAAAATGACCAGCCATTTTCTAGAGCAATTTACTATTTCCTAAAAAAAAAATTCAGATGAAATTCAAAGAGATAAAAATAGTGAGAAAAGAAATGATACTTCAGGGCCTCCCCGGTGGTGCAGCGGTTGAGCGCTGGGTTGCGAAGCTGCCTGCAGCCTCCGCGGTGCCGGTTCGATCCCCGGCTGCTCCCCGGCCACCGGAGGAGGGTCCCACATGGTGCGCAGACCTCTCCTGCCGCCCGCTGCTCCCCTCAGCAGTGTACTTCGGTCCTTCTGCCTGCTCTGCTCCCCGCTCTGGCTCTGGTGAATTCTCTCACCCTCCCGCGCTTCTGACTGTACCCAGTGCATGTATAAACAAAACAAAACAAACAAACAAATAAATAAATAAAAAACATGCCTCTATAAAAAAAAAAAGATTTAAAAAAAAAAAGAAATGATACTTCAGAGTGGAGAACTGAGATTTAATCCAAGATTTTAAAAAACCCAAATGGACACAGCATAATACATGAGTCTGATGCAAATTGTACTGAAATTGAAAAAAGAGTACTCCATTTGAAAATCTCTGAATTATGCACATAATTATTGAAATATAAATAATCCATGAATTATAATAACCTGGAATATTTTTATTTCAAAAATAAACTTTGGTCAATCCATTTTAAATAAATCAGCATACACTGAAGACTTACTCTGCAGAACAATATCCAAAGTTCAGTTGTTATTACTTAAACTTCAGATTACAGATTAAGTAGCAACAATAAGCTTCCTCTACAGATGTGGATATTCACATTCAAGCAAATTAAGTAAAACTATAACATGTCAAGTTCACAGTTTTAAGGTGTAGAACCAAGGCTTAAGTCCAATTCTCTCAAAATTTAAAACCTTGACATATATCAAGTTGGCTCTGCCTCTGTTCTTCTGGATGATCTACATTTTCTCTTTTCAAAGAGAAACTGCCATAAGGCAAGGAGAGAAGTAATTTCTGGTCTAATTGTATGACATTAATTCATTCAACGAATACCGAGTGATAAATAGTGCCAGAGACAGTGTAAGCTTCTGAGGATACAGAGAATTTATTCATATAAAAGAAGGTTGGACAGGAGAAATTCATATATAACATATTTTCTCCATTCTAACAAAATCGAGATAGACCCAGGGGTAAGAAAATCTCAGCAGTAACAACAAAAGCTACAAAACACTGACGAGTAAGTACAACAACCAAAACACAAGACCTATGTAAAGAAAATTATACTTAATGACAAAACTCAATCTAGATATGAAAAATTCCATACTGTGTACTTAGCTGAGAATTTATTATCACAAAAAAACTGACTCTTCCCCAAACTGAAATATAAGGTACAATTGCAATTAAATTACTGAATCTCAACATTTTAAAGATTTATTTGTAATATTTATGAATAGAAGAACTGGGGTATAGGCCAGAGGGATGTGGGGGTGAGAGGATTCACCAGAGACACAGTGGGGAGCAGAACAGGTAGATCTACTGAAAATATCTCACCATGAATATTCCTAAGAGGACTTTGCAATCTTTTAGCATTATTTCAAGTGATCTAATGTTAATGGTAACACCCAGTTTTACACACCACTATGATGGAGAATACTCACTTCATGACGTCCAGTTTCCCCACCTGAAAGAAAGTGCTTGACACAAAGGTTTGTTCAATAAACATATGGTGTCTAAGTGATGAAGGGCATGAACACTGGAAAATACATAATTGAGCTACTCTATTTTACCTTCAGAATACAGAGACCCATAAATATGAGAGAAACAAAAGGAAAGCTCATGAATTTGTGGATGTGTAGAGGAGGGATATTTTCCACTGATCCTACAAATTGTCCTGAACCTTTTAAGTCTAAAAGTGGTGAAATCGGGCCTCCCTGGTGGCGCAGGTGGTTGAGCACAGCGCTGTGAAGCTGTCTGCAGCCAGTGCAGCACGGGTTCTATCCTGGCCAGCCGGCGAGATACCCACATGGCACGGCAGACCTCTCCTGTCTTGCCTGCTGCTCCCCTCTGCAGTGTATTTCAGTCAATCTGCCTGTTCTGTTCCTCACTCTGTCTCTGGTGAATCCTCTCATCTCCCGCACATCTGGCCTGTACCCCAGTTCTTGTATAAGTAAAAAAATCTTTAAAAAAAAGTGGTGAAATCACCTTGTTTTATAGAAACAGATTGTAGGCATACTTGTTGCAGAATAAAAGACCAGTCGGACAGTTTCCATTTCCACCCAAATTGAGACTACTTAATGCCAAGGATCAGTCCCATAGCATAGTAGCTCTCAGTTCAAACACAGACTCCCTATTTTACTGTGCCGAGATTTTTAAGCTCCACCATCGGGGACAGAATACGAAATCCACAGCCATTCCCAAATATTCACCCTGGGGCTTTTTTGTGTGTGAAAAGAAACACTTTCTCACCAGTCCAGTCCCTTTCCTCTCCCCTTCCCAGTCCCGTGGGCTGGCTCTAGTCCTTTCTGTTCTCCTCGATTATGAAGCCTTCCTATGTCCATCTCCTGTCTCCTCCAACACCTCTTTTCTGTGCCCCTTATTTTTCGTCACATCTTGACTGCATTAGGGCATGCTTGGTCTGTGTTTGTGGTGCCCAAAGAGTCTGCTCTGGAGCTTGTGCCTCATCCCAGCTGAGGAGCTTACCTTCTTACTTCTATCAGGCTCAGTCACGACCACCAAAGACCTACTGCTTCTTATTCCATCCTCTACATCATGAAATTAACATGAAAATTCTGCTGAGGGCTCAGAGGCTGTCCCACCATGAGCACTGAGCATAATAACAGCCTCACGTACAGGCTGCCTGCCTCTGTTCCAGCAAGTTTTCTGTAGCCCAAAAGCAGCAGAACTGCAGAGAAGGTGGTTCCTTGTCATTAACATCAGAAATGCCTCAGGTGTTCTCAGCTCTGTGCTATAAGGGAACTTGTGCTGTTCATTTATTTCCCAAGTAACTTCAGTATAAGTCGCTCAGCAGTCCTATGGGAGACTGAAACTCAGTAATTGCCCCATGCCCTATAAATTCCCTCAGGAGCAGTTTCTGGGAATGAAGAGGATGTGGTCCTGCAGTAATGGCATTTTCTCTAAGAATCTTGTCTTAGGCTGAACTAGATGGTCACCGCCTCCATCCAAAAAGTATCCCCTTGATCACCGATATCTGAAACGACATTCTTTAAGCCACCAAAGATTGCTGCAGAAATTAGTATTTCTTATGAGGAGGAGACAGTAGAAAATGTATGAATCCAAAGGCATTCCCTGTCCAAATTGCATTTTTTCTCACAGGCTTTATGAAGGTCACTATAAGCATGGGGGTTAGGGAGGGGGGAGAAAGGGAAGATAGTGGGACACAATGGTATCTGGGCTATAATCAGAGGACCGTGAGGACTAAGGGGCACCGGGGACTGTGGGCTCCAGAAAATGTCAGACTCTGAAGAAGCTTGCTGCTATACCTTAGATCCTGGATGAATGTGGCTCCTGGGTCACCAGCAGCTGCCCTCCCCAGAGGGAGTGTCCAGCAGTGGTCCTTGAAGTGCAGCTACTGTTGCCATGTGATCAGAGCTGAGAGCATACCCAACACACCAGCATATCAGTGGGCATTAATTTCCTGTTCTTCTTCCAGGATAACACTGTAAAAGAAAAAATCAAACTCAGTAAATACATAAAGTGTTAGAACTGCTATATACCCCATTATGTTTCTTACCTTTTGCATTCACACAATATTATGATCTATTATCCTTGCTGTGTGGATCATACTCTGCGTCTCTTATCTCTTTCCTACCTATTGTCTCCATAATAATTCACTTTTCTTAAAGTCTATATAAATTCTATCACCTTCCTGCTTAAATCATTTCAAGAAAAAAAGCAAGTTTCATAATACATATTGGATGATACCTGAAGTAAAATTGAAATATACAAAACAATGTTAAATATTTTGTGGGTGCACAATTTTGACCCAAATTATAAAAGATTACATTAGAATGGCAAAACAAAGTTTATGTCATAGTTAATTCTAGAGAAGGAAAATTAATACTTCATTAAAGCTCAGCTTTAAAAACTTTAAAAATTTTCTGTGGTCTTACATTCTGATAGAAATATATTGATAATTTTTTTCTCATTTCTTTTTTTGGAACTTCATGGGTTCTTCATACTGAATTTATTCATATAACGTGTTTCTGCAAAATCAATCACTATTACTTATTGAAATATACATAATTTGTTTTTCTGTCTTCTTTGAGTCTTATTTTCTAGATTTTGCTACTTTTATTTATATCCTCTCTCTTGCCATACTGCCCCCCACCATTTTCTATATTTTCATTTTCACTGCATGCTGCCTTTAAGAGAGCTATGCTTTCTTTTTTTTTTTTTTTTTTTTTTTTTTAAATATTAAATTTTATTTTTATATTCCCCCATACAATTGCAAACGCCCCATTCTGACCCCAATCCTTCCCCTCCCACCCCCCACCCCCAAAAAGTGTCTCTGGTTCACAGTTTTTTGTTGATTTTGATTTTCACTTTCTTATATTCATTTTCCTGGTCCCTTATTTAAGTTTTCTAGATTCCTGCTATGAGTGAGACCATCCAGTATTTTTCTTTTTCTTTTTGGCTTATTTCGCTGAGCATGATCCCTTCCAGTGCCATCCATGTTGCTGCAAATTGCATGTGTTTATCTTTTTTGAATGCTGAGTAATATTCCATGGTATATATGTACCACATCTTCTTGATCCAGTCATCTATTTTTGGGCATTTGGGTTGTTTCCAAAGCTTAGCTATTGTAAACAGTGCTGCTATAAACATAGGAGTGCAGGTGCTCTTTGGAATTGATGTTTCTGTGTCCTTTGGGTAAATACCTAGGAGTGGAATTGCTGGATCATATGGAAGCTCTATGTTTAGTAGGTCCAGAAATCTCCACACAGCTCTCCATAGTGGTTGGACCAGTTTGCACTCCCACCAACAGTGCACAAGAGTTCCTTTTTCTCCACATCCTCGCCAACATTTGTTGTTGCTAGTTTTTTTAATATGTGCCATTCTCACTGGTGTGAGATGGTATCTCATGGTAGTTTTGATTTGCATTTCCCTGATTACAAGTGATGTTGAACATTTTTTCATATGTCTGTTGGCCATTTGCATTTCCTCTTCAGAGAAGTTTCTTTTTAGCTCTTCTGCCCATTTTTTGACTGGATTATTTTCTTTGTTGTTGCTGAGTCTCATCAGCTCTTTGCAGATTTTTGTGATCAGTCCTTTATCATTAGTGTTGGGTGCAAAAATGTTCTCCCAGTTGGTGGGGTTTCTCTTTGTTTTTGTTATTGTCTCTTTTGCTGTGCAGAAGCTCTTTAATTTGATGTAGTCCCAGCTGTTTATCTTTCTCTTCACTATCACTGCTTTGGGTGATGTGTCTGTAAAGATGTCTTTGATGTGCAAATCCCGTAGTGTTTCGCCTATATTTCCTTCTATGTATTTTATGGTTTCAGGTCTTATGTCTAGTTCTTTAATCCATTTTGAGTTGATTTTTGTGTATGGTGTGAGGTAGTGGTCAAGCTTCATTCTTTTGCATGTAGCGACCCAGTTTTCCCAGCACCATCTATTGAACAAACTTTCTTTGCTCCAATGCATAGTCTTTGCTCCTTTGTCAAAGATTAGTTGACCATAAATCTGTGGGTTTATTTCTGGATTTTCTATTCGATTCCATTGGTCTGTATGTCTGTTCTTGTTCCAATACCATGCAGTTTTGATGATTATGGCTTTGTAGTATAGTTTGAAGTCTGGGAGTGTGATGCCTCCATTTCCTTCTTTTTTTTTCAGTAGAGCTTTGGCTATTCGGGGTTTTTGGTGATTCCATATGAATTTCATCAATAATTGTTCTATTTCTTTGAAGAATGCCATTGAGATTTTGATTGGAATAGCATTGAATCTGTATATTGCTTTTGGTAGGATGGCCATTTTAATAATGTTTATTCTTCCAATCCATGAGCAGGGGATGTCTTTCCATTTCTTTGTGTCTTCTTCTATTTCTTTTAACAGTGTTTTATAGTTTTCTTTGTATAGGTCCTTTACCTCTTTTGTTAGATTTATTCCCAAATATTTGATTTTTTTTGTTTCGATAATAAAAGGGGTGGTTTTTTTGATTTCTTCTTCTTCAGATTTATTGTTTGTGTATAGGAAGGCTACTGACTTTTGCGTGTTGATTTTGTATCCTGCCACTTTACTGAATTGATTGATGAGTTGAATTAGTTTTTCTGTGGAGATTTTGGGGTTCTCTATGTATATTATCATATCATCTGCAAATAGTGATAGTTTGACTTCTTCTTTTCCTATTTGGATTCCTTGGATGTCTTTCTCTTGTCTTATTGCTCTGGCTAGGACTTCCAGTATTATATTGAAAAGCAGTGGTGAGAGTGGACATCCTTGTCTTGTTCCAGATCTTAATGGAATTGCTTTCAGCTTTTCACCATTGAGAATGATACTGGCTGTTGGCTTGTCATAGATGGCCTTTATGATGTTGAGGTATGTTCCTTGTATCCCAAGAATTTCAAGGGCTTTTATCATGAATGGGTGTTGCACTTTGTCGAAAGCTTTCTCAGCATCTATTGATATTATCATATGGTTTTTATATTTCTTTTTGTTGATGTGTTGGATAACGTTGATTGATTTTCGGATGTTAAACCATCCTTGTGCCCCTGGAATGAATCCAACTTGGTCGTGGTGAATTATCTTATGGATACATTGTTGGATTCTGATAGCTAAAATTTTATTGAGGATTTTTGCATCAGTGTTCATTAGGGAGATTGGCCTATAGTTTTCCTTTTTTGTGTTGTCCTTATTCGGTTTTGGTATTAGTGTAATATTGGCTTCATAGAACGTGTTTGGTATTGTCCCTTCCTTCTCAATTTTTTGGAAGAGTTTGTGAAGGATAGGCACTAATTCGTCTCTGAATGTTTGGTAGAATTCATTTGTAAATCCATCAGGTCCTGGGCTTTTGTTTTTGGGGAGGTTTTTAATTACCATTTCAATTTCGCTGCTTGTAATTGGTCTGTTTAGGTGTTCTATTTCTTCTTTATCTAGCTTTGGGTGATTGTAGAGTTGTAGGAATTTGTCCATCTCCTCTAGATTGTTGAACTTGTTTCCATATAACTGTTCATAGTAGTTACTGATTATTCTTTTGATTTCTGCTGTGTCCGTTGTGATTTCTCCTCTTTCATTTATGATTCTGTGTATTTGTGCTTTCTCCCTTTTTTCCTTTGTGAGCCTGGCTAGGGGTTTGTCTATTTTATTTATTTTTTCAAAGAACCAGCTCTTGGTTTCATTGATCTTTTGGATTGTTTTTTTAGTTTCAATTTCATTTATTTCTGCTTTGGTTTTTATTATTTCTTTTCTTCTACTGGTTCTGGGGTTTTTTTGTTGTTCTTTTTCTAGATCTTTGAGCTTCGAGATTAGGTTGTTTCTTTGAGTTCTTTCTTGTTTTTTGATGTGAGCTTCTATTGCTATATATTTTCCTCTTATTACTGCTTTTGCTGCATCCCATACATTTAGGATATTGGTGTCCTCCTTGTCATTCAATTCAAAGAATTTTTTAATTTCTTCTTTGATCTCCTCGTTAGTCCAGTGGTCTTCCAGTAGTGTGGCTTTTAATCTCCATGAGGTAGGATAGTTCCTTGCCTTCTTTTTGTGATTTATTTCTAGTTTGATGCCTTCATGGTCAGAAAAGATGGTTGGTATGATTTCAATCTTGGTGTATCTGTTGATGTTTGTCTTGTGCCCCAGTATGTGATCGATCCTGGAGAATGATCCGTGTGCGCTTGAGAAAAATGTGTACTCCGTTTTTTTTGGGTTTAGTGTTCTATAGATGTCTGTTAAGCCCAAATGCTCTAGGTCCTTATTTAGAGCTTTAGTTTCTTTACTTATTTTTTGTCTTGTTGATCTATCCATTGTTGATAGTGGTGTGTTGAAGTCTCCCACTACATATGTGTTTTCTCTGATGTCTGTTTTCAGAGAGGACAACAGTTGTCTGATATATTTTGGTGCTCTTTCGTTTGGTGAGTATATGTTAATGAGTGTTATTTCTTCTTGAAGTATTGTCCCCTTAATCATAATGTAGTGACCATTGGGGTCTCTTTTTATTTCTTTGAGTTTGAAGTCTGTTTTATCTGATATAAGTATAGCTGTTCCTGCTTTCTTTTTTGGCCCATTTGCTTGTAGGATTGTTTTCCATCCTTTGACTTTGAGCCTATTTTTATCTTTTGTAGCTAAATGTGTTTCCTGGAGACAGCAAAAGGTTGGGTTTTGTTTCTTAATCCAGGCTGCAACTCTGTGTCTTTTTATTGAAGAGTTTAGTCCATTTACATTTAGAGTTAATATTGATATGTTAGCATCTGTATTTGCCATTATGTTTGTCTTTCCTTTGATTTTATTTATTTATTCTTTTAATAACTTTTTTTTTTTTTGCTCTTCTTTCGTTGTTATTCGTCCCTCTGAGGTTCTGGCTTTAGGATTCCTTGTAGTATTTTTTGGAGTGGGGGTTTAGTCGCAATGAAATTCCGGAGTTTCTCTTTGTCTGGGAAGGTCCATATTCTTTCTTCATGGAGGAAAGAGAGCTTTGCGGGATAGAGTATTCTTGGTTGGCATCTGTTTT